TTTGTGTATTTGTATATATATACATACATATACATATACATGTATATACACATATATACCTGTGTGCATGTACATATATATATGTATAGATAGATATAGATATACATATATATACATATATATACATATATATACATATATATACATATATATACATACATATACACACACACACACACACACACACACACACACACACACACACACACACACACACACACACACACACACACACACACACACACACACACTGTAAGAGTTATTATAAGGGAACCTCTAAACATTGGTGACAGGGAGTATTAAAAGCTTAGTGGCTTAAAACTCTTTTATTGATAAGAGCTAGCACACGAGATGTTAAAACAAGTATGACCCTTGGGTATCGCGCGTTCAGCTGGGAGGGGACGGTCAGCCCTGACCTGAGCCAGCCAGGGTGCCGACCTTAGGTCAGCCAGCAGCAGGCTCACTCTCCTTGACCGGGTCAGAACGCGGCCTTAAGTATCCGAGACGCTGGCTTGGGAGGTGAGGAGAACCGCTCAGCCATTGTGGGCATGCCGCTCAGGGCGTGTCGCCATGTGGCCACTGAAGCCTCCACGTGGGGCCACGCAGGCATATAATACCGATTTAATACACTATATTGCTCGGCCACCTACTCACGCCTCGTCCTCGTGGCGATCTAGACTTCCTCAAGGGCGACCCAACCTGGCTGGTTCCAACTTGCTCGTCCTCGATCTCGGGTGCAGTATCCTTGGTGCATCTCTGTGGCTGCTCGTTCTGTGTCGTCATCCTTGCTCTGGTCCCTGGGAATCCGTTCGTCCTCGACATCCTCACGTCCTCGACTGGTCTCGCACAGGTCCTCGTCCAGACATCTTCGTAGTCCCCATACAGGTCAAACTTGGCGGCTTATTCGCCCAATGCACGTCTCGCAGATCTCCGTCCAGGTCCTTCTCGGCTGTGTTCTCGCACAGACGTCCTCGTAATCTTCGTCAGGATCTACGGGCGTCCGGCAGGAAGCAACCTCTTCGACATCGTAGGGCGGCTGATACCTGCACTAATGAGTTCCTGGAGTTTGACTGGGTCTGCGGCATCCAGGCAGGCGGCGCCCGTCCACAGCATCATAGGACGGCAAACCTGTACTGGCGAGCTCCTGTCTTCGCTGGATCTCGGGTGTCCTGGCGAGCGGCGATCTCCGATGACGTTTTCCAATGGCTTCCGAAGGTGACCGATTCTGCAGCAGGGCCTCCTTCGGTGCCGTTTCAGATATCGGGAACCAGAATAACACATAATGGGCCAGATAGTGAGAGAAGGAAAAATGACAGAGAAGAGAAGGTGTTAAATCCTACAGGCCGATTTTTTGTTTCATAATTTGCAGTTTTTGAACACACATATATATATTATACATATGCTTATAACATATGTGTGTGTGTGTGTTTGTGTGTGTGGTGTGTGTGTGTGTGTGTGTGTGTGTGTGTGTGTGTGTGTGTGTGTGTTTGTATTATATATATATATATATATATATATATATATATATATATATATATATATATATGTATATATATATATATATATACATATATATATATATATATATATATACACATATATATACATATATATATATATATATATATATATATATATATATATATATATATATATATATATATATATATATATATATATATATAATACTGCCGCGATAGCTCAGTGGTTAGAGCACTGGACTCCCACCCTCGTGGTCCCGGGTTCGATTCCCCGTCGCGGCAGTTGTAAAAAATGCCTACGCTCTGACTGCTACCTCGAGCCCGTGAAAACGACATATCGGCTTGAGAAGTCAAACGCAGGTGTCGTAGGGGAAGTCACCGCCGTGGCACAAGTGTTAACGCGCCGAACCGCGGTTGATTAGGAAGGGCATTCAATCAGGCAAGGGTGACACCGCCATATAACCTCTCAATACTGAATTGAGAGAGGCCTATGTCCTGCAGTGGAATGAATGGCTGTTGAAAAAAAAAAAAAAAAATATATATATATATATATATATATATATATATATATATATATATATATATATATATATATATATATATATATATATATATATACATACATACATACACATACATACATACATACATATATATATATATATATATATATATATATATATATATATATATATATATATATATATATATATATATATATATACACATATATATATATACATATATATGTATATACATACATATATATATATATATATATACATATATATGCATATATACACATATTTACATATATATATATACATCTTTCACTACCACTTGTTGACGGTTCATCTGTTACTGAATTCAACCAGTTGTCCTATTTTCTATTAAACAGGGCTATGAGTTGTGTTTCCAATACTTTTTGGTACACTTTTGACAGTCTTGCCTGATTAATTAAAAAACTCTGATTACACATTTTTCTTAATCAGAAAGTTTGAGCAGTTTTCCCAAAATGATTAAATGTTCTTCCCTCTCTGGTGGTGTGTCTTACCTTCATTCCCCCCCTCTTCTACCTCTATTGGATTTGATGCCAAGTTTTCGGGGATCTTTCATACATATATGATGAAGTATCTTTCTGTCTTTGTAAAGAGAAAAGCTTAATTTGTTTTAAGTTAAAAGTATGTTTCATAAGAATATACTCTGTATGTACTCTTCCACTAAACCAAAAAAAGAACATTACCTAAAGATTTATGTGATGCTTCTTCATACCTTCTACCCACATTGCAGGATGGGGCCAGTATTTACCTGTCACACCCATAGAAGACAGTTGGTTTGGCAGTCGTCAAGACCAGACTGACTTGGAGTGGTATGTGTGGCCACCAATAATCCTCAGTTATGCTCCTTGGGCATTTCTCCACATTGTGTTAGCTCAGCTTATAAGGAGGTTTTGCCCACAGGTAAGAATAGCAGTTGTTTGGTGTTCAGAATATTTTGGCTTTTAGAAATGATTTTAGATTTTGTACTATATTTCTTCACCTTACATTTTGTTTGTATATATATATAAATAGAAAAATGCAATTTATGTTTTCCCTATTCCAGAAAAAAATTAAGCTGATCTATAACTGATTTTGCAAAACTTATTACTGTATATTTAGATGAAGAATGATTTGCCATAAATATTTGCAATTGTTTTGTAGTAATACTAAACAGAAGAAGGAACTTGGAAACATAAAAGCTTTCTCTGTCTTTTCAGCATCTTTGTCGTTTCTACATCGTATTTAGTGTGTACATGATTATCCCATTGATAGGGAGAGTCGGCACAGGCCTCTGTTTTGCAGTGCCATCAGTCATGTTTGTCGTACTACTTACGAGGAGCAAGGTGATTATTTGGCTCACCTGGTGCCTGATATTAATTCTCTTCAATACACAGTTTTTCATCAGCTATTTGGTAAGTCACTTATTGAGTATTTTGTTTTTACATTATTATTTTCATTATTGTTGGTAAAGTTTTGCCTTGTATAATAATAGTAATGTTAGAAGTAGTGGTAGTTGTAGTTCTAGTAGTGATAGTTTTTGTTTAACAAAGAATGTTTTAGATCCATTCTGCATTTTTAAAATCATATCTATTCAGCAATTGAGGTTTAACTTTTTTTTAAGTTGAAAGAAGGCATTTCCTCATCCTTTCTTGAAATCCAGGAATCATGGGTAGAAGACATTCCTGAGGGCGATTACAAGGTCTCGGTCATGGTTGCTTGGATCATCCTCCGCAGCTTGAGCTTTTGCCTGGAAGTTTGCGACACAGACCCTGAAGGCGTGCTGAGTCCGTTGCCCCTCCTTACCACACTCTTGGGGTATTGCCTCTATTTACCATTTGTGTGTACTGGCCCATACATGCCTTTTAGAGACTTTCAAGCAGGAGTGAGTGTCTAAATGTTTTTGCTGTATCTGCTTGAAAAAAAGTAAATGAATAATAGTACATATAAAAGATGGTGATATATCACTTAGTAGAGTGTTTTATGATTTTATATATTTTTATTTGTTATTGTTATTTGTTATTTTCTTTTATTTTTCTAAAAATTTCATCCAAAGAATATTTTCCGTTCTAGTTTGTACATTTGTCTCTTCTTTCAGCTCTTGCTTCCATACAAAGAATGGACACTAAAGAGAGTTCTTGGTATGGTGCTACAAATAATAAGATTTCTGTGGTGGATGGGTTTCACTCAGGCCCTTCTGTTCCACTTCTATGCCCAGTAAGTATCACAAGTCATTTTTAGGTAACATCAATCTGGACAGAATTTAGAAATAGCTGATTGATATATGTGAACAAAGTCATATGTATGGTTGGTGACAAATTGTAACTTTTTCAGTTCATTGCATTTCACGCCAGAATTAGTGAGGAAGATGACTTCATGGTCAATGGCAGGCTTTGTGTATTTTTTAACTGCATTTTTGCAGCTGAAATATGTGGGTGAGTATTGTCTATGATTTGGTCTTGAGCTAATGAATTGCCAAATATATGCCAGATGTTTTATATAATTTTATAATTTTAGCTCCATATCTAGAGATAGAAAATTATACACAAGCTGAATAAATGACTCCATTTTTCAGTGAAGAAAAATATATGTGTGTATATATATGTATTCTAAAATGTTTTCTCTTCTCTTTTTTTAGTGCTATATGGACTGCCATCTGTGATAGCTCGTGTGGAAGGCTACGACCCTCCCAGACATCCCCGTTGTACACTCATGACATACAGATTCTCAGATATATGGAGATATTTTGACCATGGCCTCTACCGTTTCATGCTAAAGTATGCCCACTATTGTTCATTTTAACTTTTTTTTTAATGTAATTTTTAGCACCACAAAAATTGGGTTATTTTAGAGTTAGCAATATCAAATGTTTATCACAATCTCTTTTTTACATGGCTATAAGACAAGATTTAGTGATATTATCTCTTCATGAAGTATATTCAAATACTTTGTCTATTTACAATACATGGACTGAGGATTGTTAAAGGCAGTTTAGTAAAAGGTTGACTTTCCTGTTTTTCAGGCATATCTACATCCCTTGGGTGGGAGCAGATAACAGCTTAATTAGACAAGTACAAGGGACAGCACTAGTGTTTACATTTGTGTACGTTTGGCATGGCGTATCAACACAAGTCTTCTGGTGGGCTACCATAAATTTCTTCGGGGTATTTGCAGAAAAACTAGGAGATTATATTAGCCGAATGCAGGCATATGAAACCTGGGAGGTATGCTTGTCTTCTTTGAATCATTTGTTTCTTTTTCTTGTTTCCCTTTACTTCTTCTGTTTCTTCTTCTTCTTTTTATACCAAATCTTCCTCTTTCTATTTAACCTGTTCTTCCTCCACCTTATCCTCTATCTCCTGCTCTTTACTCTTCATCCTCTTCCCACTCCATGCTGAATATTGGGCCAACAGCACCCACCAAATGCAATAAGATTTTTATCTTTTTTTCTTTTCTTTCTTTTTGTTTTTTGGCAGATATTCATAGTCAAATAGCAATTTTTTTGTCTTCCCCATTATGAGACTGACAATGATAGTGAGAGCAGTAATACTGAAGAAGATAATGATACCAATTTAGAAAATAATATTACCATTTGTATTAGTTATATGAAAAAAGATAATAATAGTTACAATAATGATGACAAAGCTGGTGGGATAATGATGGTTATGATAGTGATAAGGAGAATTATAAACATTGTGATAATGGCTCATTTTATTTTTTTTGTGTGAAAAGTCTCTGCACATAGATGACTCTGCAAGTGCTTAGCCACAAAGGAGTCGATTAGTAGACCTTGTGACTTTACCTGATTTCACTTTTCCTTGAATTTGAAGTTATTTATTTATTTATTTATTTATTTATTTATTTATTTATTTTTTTTACCATTGCTATCAATACCAATGGTTTTATTTTTATTATAGACATTATAATTACCATAATGTTATTGACATTAGTAACAGCAGTTTAAAACCACATAAATTGTTTTTGAAGATTAAGGAAAAGGGTAAACAGGTACATACCATGCCATCAGTTTGGGGATTATAGTTAATAATAAATATAATAATAATTACTGATGATGGTAGAAATATTGGCATATTTTGAATCTGCAGAGTCGGTGGTTCCCAGGCTCGTGGCAGCGCCGTCTGCATGGGTTGGTGGCGGTGTGCCTTTACGTGCCATCTCTTGCGGCTCTTACTATATTTCTCTCCAATCTTGAAAATGCATTTGCTATTACCACAAGAATATTTATATCAGGTAAGTTAAGTTTATATTGCCGGTCATTTGTTTTATTATCTGTTTTGTTGTTGTTGCAAAGCTACTTTTGACTCATGGCAGTTTATAAACTCACTTTGATATATCTTTTTAGACTGTTATGTAAGCTGCTGAATAGAGATTGCATGTTGATTCCATATATATGTTTTATTCCCCCCTTTCTTCCCTTTCCTTTTCATTTTACCCCCCTTGGTTTGCATTAGAAGTATTGGATAAAGTATATCTGCAGGGTTTACTAACTTACTCTACCCTAGCTTTTTCAGAGTATCATATAATATGTCTGTTAACCAGATTTGAATATTTGATATCAGTATATTAGAAAAAATAATTGTGATTGTTGTTAAGTCTTCTTCAACTTATTATAGTAGTTTACTTGCCTGCATGAATGGTGTTTGATGTACAAATCTTTTTTTCTCATGTTTATGACTTTTACTGTATTTTTCTTATTTATTTATTTATATATTAAGACATGTCAGCAGTGTATCACCAACTTACACAATTCATTATAAAATTTCAGGGTTTCCTGAATGCACTCTCAGCACCTTCTTCTTCATGTTCTGTTTGGGACAGTGCAGTATGGAGCTTCAGAACTGGAAGATCAGACAGAAAGATAAACATAAATCTAGTTAGCATTAATAAAAGTAATACTAATATATATAGCCAAAAATATAACTGGAGGTGATATGAATTAATATTTTAGTCACTGTAAAGTTAATAAGACAAAGGGAATGTGTATGAGTCAGGTGGCAGAAAGTATATAGAGGTATATTTTTAATATATATCTATTTTTATTGTGATTTGTAGGAGTTGTCATCCCTTTTTTGGACATGTGCAGATAACTAGTTTATTTTTTATGGTACATCCTTGGTTGTATTTGCTTGCTGGCATATGTGAAATATAGAGTTAGCATATGAAGCAAACTAGAGCCCAAGTGAGGAGAAATCATAGGTAAGACATTTTATGGTGCTCTCTCGATTCCACTAAAAGACAGAAAAGGTAAAGTCATTTTAAAGTTGTGATGTTCATATACTGACCCAACACTATTGGTTTACTTAAGAAATTTAATTATATTGTATCACCATTTACTATTAAGGCCTAGTATGGGAGAGGAAATTGATAGATTTTGTCACCTTAGTGCAAGGGAAATCAGTTGATGTTAAACCTACTGTTTAAAAAGTGGGAGGAAATGGCAATGTGGAAAGATTTTTTTTTTTTTTCTTATTGGTCCTAAAATTACATGAGCAGTTAAATTGATTTCAGCATAAATTAGACAATCCTGTACATGAAGCGAGATTAGTGAATGAATGAATAATTATAAAAGATAAGAATCTCATGCACTTATGCTGATAAATAATCTCAAAGATTTTAGTTCAATTAAAACTAGTTTTGAAAGAAATTATGTGACTTATGAGTATCTATTTCAGGAACAGCTTAAATTTACATTTGTAATAAGATTTACACACAAGGGTTAGATATATGACAGATTTGTGTAATTAATACATGTTTTGTCAGTTTTTATCATTTTATTTACTCTGCTTTTCCAGTCTGGTACATTTACTTTGAATAAGGATGAATGAAAAGCAATTGCCACAAAATTAAAAACAGGGAACATAATATAGAAGTTGCTTAGGCAAAACAAGGCTAGTTTTCCTGGAATGTACTACACTGTATATTACTCTATTATACTGATACATTGCAATATGTTTTTTAATGTGTTTTAAAGATTAATTGGGATCACAGATCACCTACTACTAATGATGTTGAGGACAAAAATGTGTTTTAAATGAATCAAGAATTCTACACTCAAAACTTTGTTGGAGAAGAAAATACAGTGGCTGCAATTTCATTACTACTCATGTCCTCAGTATGATTATAGGTTGATCAAAAGGTTTCATTATGTCTTTCAGTAGCAAGGATTTTCTCATTCACACTCATGTCTTGTGACCATAATTGTATTTCAGATGATCTTGTATTACTACCAAAAAGCAAATGAACAGTTGTTAGTAAAATTGAGGTTTATTATTGGTTCCCCACTCCCACAGTTGAATTGCTGATGAAGGGCTTTATTTATTTGTTTTGTTTTTTCTTAAGATTATCTTTCTTTGAGGATGTCATTTTTAAAGGTGTGATTAGTTTGTAGAAGCTGACACAGAGACTAATTGCTTTAGATGCCTCAGTTACAAAAGTGTTTTCTGTTTTTAAGGTCTGTTTATATTATCAGTGTCCACCTGTGGTGTATTAGCATAATAATGTACTTGGAAACATTAACAACAAGGTAGTAAATTATTGGGTGATATATTTGTATGTGGACTATTATCAACTGAAGTGGTGTTACCAGAAAAGTCTGCATGTAATGTGATACATATTTTTCATGTCAGTTTAGAGAATGGGAAATATGAAAAATGTTGATATTATGAAGAAAATAGTAAGTTAATCCCTGGGATTTAACACTGCATTGTTTATTATGTACCATATCTGGGGCATAGTTCATAATTGTTTATATTATCTGGCACAACAGCACAGCAGTGGCTTATGTTCAGCAATTGCTCAGTTACTTAATAAGCAGGCATACAGAGGAGTCAGTACAACTTGCAGTATTACTGCTGCTTAGTGGTCTATATTATGCTTCATTACCACATGTAGAAGCTTGCTTACTTGAGTGCTATCACAGGTGGAGGCTGATATTGTTATAGGCCTTTCTTGAGATTAAGAACATGTTATATATTTACAATAAAAGATGTTTATAGGTTGAGTATACTTTTGTCACAGCTTTCAGATGACTAGTTTCAGTTTGTTAAGGATGTGATTGATTTTAATCTCATCCTAAGATTTAAAGACAGTTTATAGAATTCCATGCTTGCTCAATACAAAATAAAAGCTGTGAAGTTGAATCTTTCTCTTTCTTTACATAGTTTTAACTGTGAGTTGAATAGCTATAATCCCAAATAGACAGTATATGGCAATTTTTAAATCAGATATGTCTATTAACCCAAAGGCCCCAGGGAAATATTGTGTTCACTGTAGTATTGTTTAGTGAAATATCTCTACAAGTGCTTAGCCACAAAGGAGGCTTTGTGGACCTCACCTGATTTCACCTTTCTTGAGTTTGCAGGAAAAAATGCTTTTTTATTATTTCTATCAATGTCAATTCTGTTATTTTTATTATAGACTTTATAATTATTGTAGTGATACTGGCATTGCTAACAGCAATATTACATACCAGATAATAGTTTCGAAAATCAAGGAAAAAGGTCTACAGATGAAACGTAGTACTCATAATTGGCTCATTGGTGACTTAGTACCGTACTTGTGGAGCCATCTGTGTGTAAAAACAATTAATAGATTAAACTCGCATTGGGCATGACATGTATGTACAAGCCATCCCTGGTGGCTTGGGGTTAATTTTTTGTTTCCAGGTGCCTCGCTGCTCGCACATGGCCCAAAACACGGGCCTTAGGTTAACTCGAGTGGTGACGCTTCCGAGTGTGTGGCTTGTAGATCTGGCCCACACAAACACTTTGTACTGTTATTATCAGTTTATCTGCTTAAGTGTTTTCGGCTCGTTGTTTTCCATGGTCTATATTTGTCATTTGATGTGCTGTATCAAGTTGGTAATAGACTATTTTCCTTGCACAGATTTACATCATGTCTCTAGGTATAATGTTTATAATAAAAATAACCATCGATATTCATAATACTAGTAAAAATACATTTTCCCGCCAATTCAAGTAAAGGTGAAATCAGGTAAGGCAGAGCCATCTAGTGTAGAGAAATTTCATTAAAAAAAATATAAAAAACGAGCACAGCATTTTCCCCATTTTTTGTTCATTTTTACCCGGCGTGAATAGGTTAACTCCTTCAGTCATGGCTTACATACTACACACTCATCTACCAATGGAAATTAATGCAAGACCCACTTCCTAAATGCCCACCATGTCTAATCACCCTCCAAGAGCTTTGTGCACTTGTGCCAGGTCATTCATGTCACCCTTTAGTCAAATTTTTCATGACACCATATCCCAGTTGCCTAGGCATGCAAATAGATATTTCCCTGACAGCATGTTCACCTGGTCCTTAGGCAAATGTTTTTCATGACACGATGATCACGTCACCTGGATTCAAGTTTTGTTTTGGAAATCATCTTTATCCCAATGCCGCCAGGGAAAATGAATAAAAAATGAGGGAAATGCTGTGCTCATTTTCTATATATTTTGTGAAATGTCTCTGTACATAGATGGCTCTGCTAGTGCTTAGCCACAAAGAAGTCAATTAGTAGACCTTGTGACCTTGAAGTGGTGGTAAAAATGTATTTTTTACCAGTGCTATGAATATCGAGGGTGTTATTTTTATGATAAACATTATAATTACTATAATGTTATAAACATTAGTAACAGCAAAATAAGATAATGCTAAATGTTTTTGTTAATCAAAGAAAAGGGTAAACGGGGAGACAGGCAGTACCCGTAATTGGCTCATTGGTGCCTAAGTACATGTGTAGCCATCTATGTGTAAAAACAATCAAACAAGTAACTCACAGTGGGTATAGCATGTATGTACACGTCATGCCCATCAGCATTGGGTTACACACAGATGGTTCCACAGGTGCTCAGCCACCAAGGTGTCAGTTAGTAGGCCTATGTAACCTCACTATGTAATCTCACCTGATTTCCCCTGATTTTTTTTTTTCTAATGCTATTAATACTGATACTGTTATTATTATTATAAATAATACTTACAGCAATAAGAAAATCAGAGCAATATTTCTGTAAATCAAGGAAAAGGATAAACAGGTCAGATAAGTAGGATTAGTAAGTGACTCCTTGGTGAAAGAGCACTTGTGAAAACATCTGTATAAACACAATTACTAAATTGAAATTATAAATGACATGGCATGCACATACACCCCACCCCCAGCGGTAATGAGTTGATAGGACTTTTGCACAAAATATGTCTGGTGCTAGGGTTACAGCAATCAAGTAAAAACCACAATGCCTTAACTTTGACATCATAACTCTCAAACAGAGAAAAAGAAAATTAAATGCCAAATGCTTCTTTCAGAGTTTATTAAGGAAGGAGTGAGGTTGGGCAGGAATATGTTTGCCAGTGAGGTCAGTTCATGGGATTCAGATGTAACTGTGACAAGGTGTGAACAGTCAAAAGGAAATTTTCCCTACTAGTTTTTGGAGACATTGTTGAAAGAGAAGGATATTGTCCAAGTATGGGGCTGTAGGGGGAATCACAAAGAATCAATCCCACTTGGCTGGGCCAAAAAGGGTACTTAAAGGTTTGCAGAGGTGGAAGCAGTAGGACAAGGGAAGGAGGAATATGGGGTGGTGTTGAGAAAGGTAATACTGTTGGGAGGAGGACAATAAGGATGAAGGAGTAGTAATAAAGGGGGTGGGGGTAGACAGTGGAGAAGATTGTGCAGTAGATGGAGTGGAGGATGTTGGGAGAGAGGAAGGGGTATATTCTGAAGGTTGAGTAATGACCTGGATGGACGATATGCAATGAATAAAGTTGACAGCAAACATTGTCAAAGGAGAGGCAGGGAATAGGAAACCAATGAAATCAAATTTAGATAGACTAGTTGATGAGAAGGCAAGCCTTAATATCCCTAATAAAAAAAAAATCTTTATTGTTGGCCATAGTGAGCCTGAAATAAATGAGAAGAAACCGTCTACCCCTCAGGGTCCCCATGGGGAGTAAGGGCTAGGCGATTAACCAAAGGAATACCATGCCCATGGCCTTCGGAACCGTTCATGACTGACACAAAGGCAGCCTTTTATCCTTTCAGCACAGCTCTCACACCTTAGGAAGTGGACAGAAGGGGATAAAGAAGAGAAGGAAAAGGAAAGGGGGAGAAAAAAAGACCATGCAAAATTAGTTGAGGTGTAAGGGCTGAAGTCCAAGGTAGGGGTGATCCCCCACATTGGGCCCCAGTCTTGTCTCCTCCAAAGCTCCCCCACAGCAACATCAAGCAAGGTATAAGGGGGAAGCACATTATTTACTCAATTAGTATATTGAAAGTCATTGTTCTTTATTCTGTTGATATTTTTGAGTGATTTTTTTCATATGAAAAGCAGTTTAATTTTTTTTCTGATTCTCCTGTGATTACATAAGTGTAACTGTTATTCAAAATAGTTGTGCTACTTTTCAAGGTGCACTTCATTTTCAGTATACATTTACTATCAGATAGAATATCATGCCTGGATTG